TTTTGACAGTAACTTATTGAAATCACATAATTTTAACCATCTTTTCTCTTAATTTTTTTTAGAGATACGAATAAACATTAATTTCAATCATAATTTTTATTTTTGTGAAAAATCATAAAATATTTGTGGCCAAACATGGTCAAAAGGAGAAAGTCTAAAGATCTAACGGTGATCGGTGGTTCTGGGACCTACAGTCACTTGCTTTTACATTCCTTCACCGCCGTCCAATCTCTGCATCCTCCGACGGCGTCCTAGTAATCTGCGACGAAGTAATTCTGGCGGTAACAATTATATGCTTTGCTTCTCCGGCGGACAAAAGAAACGAATGAAAGGGAAATGGTCAGTTGTTATCTCATAGCGACTGGTGCCTGCCTTCCAATGGCGAACGCCTCAATCTTCCGCGCAGAGCATCGTATGGCCCCAGATCTCTCCCCCGACCGCTCGATCTCCCGAGGCGGAGCCTCCTCTTCTCGCCGTCGCGATCTCGTCTTCGTCGTCAATCCTCGAGGTATTCCGTTCTTGATAATGTAGAAAATCAAGTGAGAACTCTGAAAGATTCATGTCTTTATATATACATACTGGTTTCGATTTCAATACGGAGATTTATGTAGTTAGATTGAATTGTGGGATTGTAAATTGGAGCAGGTGCTAACGGGAGGACGGGTAAAGAGTGGAAGAAACTACTTCCATTTCTCCAGTCTCGCCTCGGTACAGATTGTAACGTGAGTTCTCTCTTCGATTGGTTCTGCTTATTTTCAGTGTTTAATTTTGTCAGGTCGTCCTGTTTAATGCTTTGATTGATAGATAGTTTGATTATTTTAGGAATTAATTCTTAATTTTGTTATTGTTTTTATTTAGTTGTAAAACCATGTGCAGATGTTTCTGTAGAAAACTTAGTTTGATCTCATTCTGTTCACCTTGGAAGTTATTAACAATCTATTGCTTTTGGCAGATATGTGAATCTCTTACCTCTGGGCCTTTTCATGCAATTGACATAACAAGAGAGGTATGAATTAATCCTTGGCATATTGAGCTTCAACTTAGCTTAGTTGTCTATTGATACTGAATGATTTGTTTAAAAATCACTATCTTGGTTGGATAAGTTATGAGTTTGAGGTTTTGCAGGCTATACGGGAGGGTGCTGATGCCGTGATTTCTGTTGGAGGTGATGGAACACTTCATGAGGTGCTGCTTCTTTTCATTTGTAGAATGCTAGAAAGCAAAATTAAATTCTACGCTAATATTGCACTTGTTGGATTTTAGAGGTGTTTTTTTACCTTTTTTCCTTATACTTGCTTCAAATCATCAAGCCATTGCTCTCTGACCCATTATTTAGCTTGTTAATTTAGACTGGCTAAAATACAACTAATTGAATGAAGAAAATTGAGAAAAATTAATAAACAGAGATCAATATTCTGCTAATAATGGCCAAATTTTTTGCTATATGTATGGTCCAATTTAGCTTGGTGTTAAGATTTGAAATATCTCACTAAATAAGACTTGGCATGCTGCATGCTATGGCATTAGGTTCAGTACAACATATGGTTGGTATAAATTTTCCATTTATTCTTATGGTGGGGGCATGGGTCTGATATTTCTTGGTTTGCAACAAACAGGTTGTTAATGGATTCTTTTGGGATGGGAAACCTGTTGCTAATCAGAACAGAGAGGCTGCTCATTCAACAGCACTTGGTGTAAGAAATACTGTTAGGCTCTTATTTTGTTTTCCTCTCTTTTTCTAAGGATTACCCTTAGGATCTGATAATCTTGATCTCATAATTTCTTCACTTCATTCTTTTTGCTCATGATAAAGCTATTAATTATGGTTTTAATATTGCACATCCTGTCTATCTCTAGGGAAAGATATAATTATTGTGTTCCTTTCTACAGCTGATCCCCTTGGGCACTGGTTCAGATTTTGCTCGAACTTTTGGTTGGTGAGTTGACACTACTCTAATTGTGAACATTTCTCTGAGTCCTCCATTTTTTCATGATTCTTTTGATTCTACTGTACCTACATCACAAATCTTTCATCCCATGTTTTATCAGGAAAAATGATCCCTGTGAGGCCATTGAGCGAATTGCCACAGGTATTTTATGTAATAGTGTTGTTTCATCTCTCCCCTAGGTCATTTTTTTATTCAATTCAATACTGGATTAGCTTTTTTTCTTTTTTTCATAGGATTTGTTTATGACACTGTATCATAGGGCTGAGATCGCGGATTGATGTTGGTGTGATTAATAGAGAAGGGGAACAACCTCATTACTACATCAATGTTGCTGATATTCATTTGTAAGTTAACTTGTTAATTTTCAAATTTGACCTTTTTTTTTTTCCCTTCAAATTTGAGCTTTACTAAAGAACATGCTTATCTTAAAAGCTCACTGCTTTATTATTTTTGTTATTCTTTGGTGAATTTTGCAGGAGTGCAAAGGCAGGCTACTATGCTTCAAAATATAAGAGATTTGGAAATTTGTGCTATGTTATTGGTGCTTTGCAAGCTTTTATGGGGCACCATAACCAGGATCTTAGAATCAAGGTCAGCACCTGTAAAGGTTCAGAAAAGTGACTGTTCAATTTTTGTGAATACTTTGTGTTTTTGCCATGACTTTACATAATTTATGGCAAAGTTCATGCTTATATTCATATTGGCATTAAGAGTTAAACACCATCAGAAACTATTCTGCATATAGGTCGATGAAGGTGAGTGGGAAACATTTCCTAAGGTGACAGCCTTATGCATTGGAAATGCAAAGTACTTTGGTGGTGGCATGAAGATTACACCCAATGCTGACCCTCGTAGTAGGGATTTCGAGGTCAAATATTTTTTGTGTTAATCTCCTTTGATGATTGACAATTTGCATTATTTAGTATTGAGAGATGTTGTACAGCCTGTACTCTTTCTATTTTGTAAAAACATTTTGTATATACTCTGCAGGTTGTGATTCTTCAGGACTTCAAGTGGTATGACTTTATTCTAAAACTAAATAAACTATACAGTGGGACACATTTGTCAGTTAATAATGTGACGGCAAGAAGGTAGGAACTCTTTCTTTAGGTGATATACTGTATTTTTTCCTTGTTCATTTAAGTAGTTATTTTCTTTTCTCTTTTTGTCTTCTGATCATGCATGATATAAATTAAAAAGTTAGCTTGTCATAATTATTGTTGTCAACATTTGAGTAATTTTGTATAGAACTTGCAAAAAAAAAAAAGAAAAGGGGTACCATATCAATCGGCTGTTTGTCCTCTTTCCCCTGGAAGTTACATAAATTAGCATCATGGTCTTGGTGTTGGTGGTCTGTGCCACAAAATTGGAGCACATATAACCCTGTCATTCATGGGTCTCGATATCCTACTCTAATGTATTCATGATAAATTTCCTCTTTAGCAGTCTCATGTGATGTTGTAAAGCAGGAGTGCAGGACTCCATGTCTCAATTTCATGTCTAAAAGAAGTTAAACAATGGTGCATGATATCTAGTTGGCCTGCAATCATGATTTATTATTGTTAATATTTTTTTGTTACAGGGTACACTCCATTGAAGTGGAGGACATTTCAGGCAGCGGTGACATTTACGTTCAATCTGATGGGGAATATCTTGGCTTTCTCCCGAGGAAGTTTTGTATTTTACCTGCAGCAATTGAGATGATTTGCTGACATGAGTCGTGCCAGAAAGCAGCTGAGGATTCAATATGATCCATTGACCAGTCTTCCTGAAGATGACGCATTTCTTGCAATCCATGTTTCTCACTTCTCAACCGATTACCGGCTGGGGCAAAAGCAGAGACAAAGCAACCAACAAAGCCAGACAGGGGCTGCAAATTTTGACACTGGATGAGGTTTATCAAGGAGAGACCAGCATTTGGTCGGTTGTTGTAGCTAAGAAATGTTGCCATCGTTTAGAAGAGGGCTCAACTTTTTTCTGTTCTGTATCTGTTGTATCTGTTGTTTGGTTGTTTCCTGCACAGCTCGAGAAGTACTTCTCATTCTACAGGACAACACTGCAAGATAATTCAGGCCCTGCCTCTTGGCTAACTAATGGCTGATCTAGTTTCAAAACCACTCCAAAAAGATAAGAAGAAATCCTTGGTTTCCTTTCTCGCCAAAATCCAAAATAGAATTATTTCCGGAATAACATTGACATCGACAATTCGTATAACTTGCCCGCATTTCTAATCAAGTGGACGTCACCTCTACGGCTACAAAACAGAATTTAAAATAGTTTTTTAATTTCAATTTGAATTATAATAAATTATAAATTATAAATTAAAAATTTTTTAAAAATCTATTATTTCTTATTTGGTAATTTACATTATAATATATTATAAAATAAAATCTGTTACTTTGGAAGTAACCTATGATATAAGAGATTTGCCCTCAATTTTATAGTTTAAGTTTGTAGTAAATTATAATTTAAAATGTATAATATTTTTTTAATTAAGGTTATATTTATGCCATAAATTATAAGAGATTAATTTTTATTAGTTGAATTTATTAAAAGAATATTTTAAAATTATGTTGTTTTAATGAAATATTAAAAATATTAAAATATTATCATTTTTATTTTAAAATTAATTAAAATATTTTAATTTTTTAAAATAAAATTTTATTAAAATAATATAATTTTAAAATATTTTTCACTTAAAATTTTGTAATAAAAGTTAATATTCA